CTGCTTCGATAACATTGCACCGAACATCCTCTAGAACTCAGTTCGTACTCATGATATGCCAAAGGCCCACGATTGGATTCTCGGTTCCCTCCTATGAATAAGAGAGTTCTATAAAAAATTTTCTTTCCGCAAATTTTTTTTTACCGTTTTGATAATTTTTCTTAAATTCGGGAAAATGATTCGGAATATGGTACCATTCTTTACACTTTCCAAACTATATATTATACATACATATTTACCACAAATAAGAAGCCAATAATATTCAGAATTCATATAATGAAATTGCGCTTGGTACCTTCCTTTTATCTGTCTGTATATCAATGTCCGCAACTGTATTTGTAAAATCATACATAAGCATCGGCGTAGCCAGAATGAAATTTAGGGGGGGCCTCGACCCTATTAAGCTGGCATTTCAGGGTACTATTTAAATATATATAAGGAAAATTTTAAAGTTAGGGGGGGGCTCGAGCACCCCCCTGCCCCTACCTGGCTACGCCCATGTACATAAGCAAACGTCAAATATTTAAAAATGTGAACGTCAAACATATCTCGTAATGGTAATGGAGACGGTTGTGATTTAGCAACTGGATTTATTAAATCTTAATGGATAAATCTCTCAATGGAGACATAGTATAAGCATTTGAAATCACACAATATTATTGTAGAAAAGTGTAATAAGCTATCTAGTAAGTATCATTGTTTTGTGATATGTACTAAATGAACTTTTATGGTACGTTCACATGCTGCAACTTCTGTAACTATGTAAAGTAAAATAAATTTTATATGTAGTAATACTTTGTTAACCAGTATAAAACAACTAAAAAGGTGATGAAATAACTATTCTATGCTGAGCGACAGTTTGTACTCAATGCAATTATAGTGAAACTGTAAATAAATATTTATGTAATAAAATTGTTTAGAATTGAATAATATTAAATAAAATGTTGGTTTGGTTGTTTTGAATTTCCGAAAACAAAGTGCAAAACTAATTTTAAAATACCATATAATTACAGGCGCAAAATGAAGGAAGGGGACGATGATGGTGCCAAACGAAGCGATGATATAAGGAATGAAAGAGACGCTAACACTATAAAAGTTGCTTTCGAAAATATTGAGTTTCATAAAGGTATATCCATTATATACATATGTAGTCCTAACGCTAATTAACTTTAACATAATTTCTTTTTAGACGGCGGCGCGAAAAACAACAAAATAACTAAGTGCATTTGATTCTTCATTTGTAAAGGCATGAGACCCTTTCATGTCGTGGAAGGAGAAGGGTTTCTAAAACTGATGAAAGAGGTAGCCCCTCTGAACACAGTGCCATCTAGCGATATTTTAAAGAAAAAACTTTGCGAAAAATATTTCATCTCGGCGGAAATGTTCAAACAAAGGATTCAAAAGCCACCTACTGTATGCCTAACTTTAGATATTTGGGCGGAAACCATGGCAGAACGGTCATTTCTTGGTGTAACCGTTCATTTTTTTTTTAGAAAACAGTACATTTGTAACTTGTGCTATTGGTACTAAACAGTTATCTCAGCGTCACACGGCCGATTATATAAATGAAACTTTTAAAACAATTCTTAATGAATGGGACATAGAAATTTCCAAAGTCAGATGCATTGTAACAGACAATGGCCAAAATATGGTCGCAGCTGTAAGAATGGTTGCCTCACAAAAGCACCATCTACCCTGCTTTCCTCATACTATTAATCTCGTAGTTCAGGCTGATTTAAAAAATCCTTCAATCGAGAGTGTGCTCAACAAAGTTAGAAAAGTAGTTATATGGGTAAAAAATAGTGTAGTCAACTCTGACAAACTACGCAAAATCCAGATAGAACAAGGTATTCCTGAAGGATGCGTAAAAAAATTGATACTCGATGTATGCACGCGCTGGAACTCGGTATTTTACATGGTGGAACGCTTTTAGAGATGCAAAAAGTTGTTTGGAATTACTGCTAGAGAGCTCTATAAGTCCAAATATGGCAACTGGTCAGGAAATAGAAATTTTGAAACAATTAATTATCTCCTACAGCCGTTTGAATATTTGACCAGAGAGGCATCTGGTGAAAACTATTTAACTTTATCAAAAGTTAGTCCAATGATAAACTGTGTAAGTACGACGCTGCGAAAATTTACATCATCACATACAGAAATAACAAGCGTTGCAGAAATTTTTCGATCTGAGCTGAGCTGCAGATTCGGTAAAATTGAATACAACTCGCATGCAGCTTTAAGCACTCTCCTGGATCCAGGTTTAAGAACATAAATTTTCAAGATTCGCTTGCATGTGGTTAAGCTATCCTAAAATTGCGGAATCTCATTAAAGAAGATACCTTAAATTCATCCAGCGAATTTGAAGTAGAAGTCAGTCCTGCAAAACAATTTGATTTTGGGCAACATCATCGAGAGTTGGTTATAGGACTAAAAAAGCGCAAAAATTGTCTTATCTTCGGGAGACGAAGTGACTCTTTATCTTTCCTCACCCACATCGTCTTTGAAAAGCAACCCATTAGAGGAATGGGAAGATATGCGCACTACAATTCCGCAGCTATATAAGCAAGTCCGTCTATACTTATAGGTTGTTGGGTCATCTGTCCCCTGCGAGAGACTTTTCTCCAAAACAGGTAAAACTATTTCAAAATCTCGAAACCGCCTTTCAGGAAAACACTTGGAAAAGTTGATGTTTTTGGGAAATATAACAAAAAAGGAGTTCTTTTCTTAAATTTATTTTATATAAAAAACTTTATTTAGGTATAAGTGTTTGAAAAATGTATTTAATTGTCTATTAAATACTACACAAAAATAGTTCTCGTTTGAAATGTGTGTATGAAAAACTTTTAAAAGATAAATAATCTTGTAAAAATGCAAATTTTTGTGAAATGAAAATACAATAACTTTGAAAAATATGCAAAATTGTAGTTCTATGTAGAAGTATTCGATACCTTTCCGATACTGAGTAGGTATCGACACTTCGATTGATACAAGTACAAGTATTGATTGGAGTAATACCTTGATGGTATCGATTTGTCCCTAGCTGAAAGTCACCCGCCGCGCTGCTAGCGCCCTCACCGTTGCTCCGCTGTAGTTGAGAGTCACCCACCGCGCTGCTAGCTTCGCCATTCCTGACTGCACGTCTATACCTGCGCTATGGCGCTCGTATACGAACTGTCAGCTTTATCGCATGCGAAATCTTATCGCAGGGAAATTTTTGTACGTGGGCATTTGATCGCATACCATTGCAGT